TTTCCGCGTTCAGCTTCCCCATAGCTTCTTTATAGGTGATGATAACGGCACGCGGAGAACATAACGATACGTTTTACGCACGTTCCGAGCGCGAAACGACGCCGGAATAACGACGACGCTCGCGTTCTTCTGCACTCGCTTCGCGGATGCTCGCGATTTCTCTCCGAAAAATTTCCACAAAGTCGCGCTTAACACATACGCATCCCTGCCGGGAGTTATCCAGAGATATGATTACATCATTATTTTAGACGGTTCTCTCCGCACGTGTGTTTATTAATTATCTATTGATGGTCTCGGCGATATCGATAATACGTCACTGTTATTGCGGCAACGTAATTAATATCATTATTTTCTATTAATGATGTTATAAAATCTGCAAGCGAACAAATAAACGTTGTTTCATCAGCACACAGAGAAAAATATTTCATTCTACTGCTAAAGAAAAAGATCATTCAGTTTACTTTTGCTTACTTTAAGTAATAGTTGTCCTGAATAGAGAATATTTTCTTGATAATAGTCCTGAATAGTCCTACTCACATAAATTTTAGAACAGCTCGTTACGATGCCCTCAAAAGAAGAATTTATTCTCTTTGTAAGAATATCATAAAATTTTATCGAAGAAACAATTGATTTGATTCTATGTAAGTCGAATTTGTGTTTTAAAATTTAATAACCTCGATTGAAATGCTAACCCTACTAAGATTCAGAATGCATTTCGAACAGATTCGACACTAATGATGAGCTTACGATAGACTTGAGGATACACAAACTCGCGAAATACTTAAAACAGACAACATTTACTTGAATGCAGTATGTATTTCTCTGTGTGTGGCGTCTTATAACAACGATATCGAAATGCGCATATTCCTTTGGATGAAAATCCGATGTATCGCGCGAGACGATCTTTTGTGCGATCCCGCCGGCGTTTTCGCGCATCGCTCGTGTTCCGTGCTAACTGTGACGCTTATGTGCTCTCGTTTCGAGCAATTCAGCACTAAGGACGCATAATAATCGGCCGCCTTCGCGCGCGCCCGCACGGTAATTGCGACATTAGACGGAACGACGGTGGTGGGACGAGATACGGATCGGGCTCATTGCCAATTGCGTTTCCAGCAAAATTGAAAGATTGTCGGCCTGCCTACCTACGGCCTACCCCTCATTATCCCGCCTTATTATACTCAATCCACGAAATCGTATATCCGGAATTTCCCAACGAGCGGCGCGCCGGCGAGAACAGAGAGAGAGAGAGAGGGAGCACGCAATCATTCGCACGCACTGCGAGAGAGCGCGCGCGCGGGATGGACGCCCACGGTGCTACATTTAAATTAAACGCGATCGTGTAGCCCAAGGCTTCCCATTCTTGGAGTGTCGAAATAACATACAATTATAGGAACGACGCTACAAAGTATGATAACTATTAATCACGGGACACCGAAGACGACGAGCCGAGACCAACGTGGATACAATGTGTCGGGCGTTCGCGTTAGTGTTGGAAGAGTTATTCGTCCGTTTCATTTAGGTTTCCATTACGATTGTTGTGTGTTGGCGCGATACACTTCAAAATTCCCACGAGCAAGATGTAAAATCGCGACATTTAACCTTGAACATTGAAGGAAGGAATACGGAATCTTATACGCGACGAGAACGTATATTAATTATCAGCATTCCTTATTGTTATTATTATTGCAATTACACTCTTTGCGTTTGTTCCTAGATAAACCCACATTGAGAGAAAAAATAGTTGGAATAATTATAATCTCACTATATTTTATAGTTCGTTTTGGCTTCAAACATATAATTTATCTAAACATGAAGATATAGTAGAATGAACACAGATTTATAGTCACCATCTTATTACTCTATATATATGGTAAAGCACCTTTTGGGAATATAGTTACATGTATCTATATTTGCCAAATATTCCAATTGTATTGACTATATAAAATAGTTAATTTCTCTTACTATTCAATATTTGCTACCTTACTATATTTTTTATTTCAAATAATTATAATTCTTGGTAAAAATTTTACACGAGTCAGTTATACTATGCTTATATCGTAAATATTACAAATATTATGGTAACATTTACTATAAAAATTATATTCCTAACTATGCCATTATAATTCTTTTTATTATGCCATTATAGTTCCAAATATCATACATTTTTCTCTCAGTGCACTAAATTATTTTTTATTTTTTAGATATTTATTTTCTCGGTGTATATTTGCTGCGTAAATGTCATTAAAAAAAGCTTCTATTATCAATTGTCTCACGATTGCGATGATCATGAGGATCTATTTAGGTTAAAATCTGTTGTTTTGCGCCAACTAATTGTCCCGGAGTCGGCAAGTGATCGCAGTATAACAATTTGACGTAACGATCTAACACGCTCGCTCGTACTTTGCGCAGCCCTTTTCTCATCGCGCGCGCAGAGTAAAGTCACGGAGAGAGATACGGTGATTCATGAAATTAAGTGTTAATGATCTCACTGTTTTCGTCATATTCCGGCCGGCCGCAGAAGGAGGAGTCGGCCAACAATGCGCGACGTGTGCGCCGGATGCTAGAGTAAACCTCTGGCTTCCGGGCGGACGGATGAATGATTCGCGCGAGCTACCTCCCGAAAGTATTCATAAATATAAATTGTACTTTGATTCGACCCTCGACGGCCTCTGGGATTCGCGGAGAGTGCGGGGACCGGCAGATCGAATTCTTCCGCTCTCCTAGGAGGAAGAGAGCTTCCCTGCAGGGTGCCACCTAAAAATATTCTCTTGAGGCAAGCTTCCCGTGGCAAATTGTAAAGGGAGAGAAAAGGTCCCGCGTTAGTGTACGTATTGAGAAGAATGGCGTGCAGTTCTCTCGTAGGGCGTGATTGAGAGGCCGTGTGAAATTAAGTTTCCAATGTCGATCAGCGCGCTCCGGCTGCGTGTGAAGTCATCTTCTCTTCGTTTCCGACCTGGACAACTCGTCCCTAAAGTTCAGCATCCAAGTGTCTCGAGGCACACCCCGTATATCGTGCTTTCGTTAACTCGAAGGGTGGCTATCGATTCTCTCGGAAGTTGCCCGTCTTGTACAAATAGCGAGCGGGCGAGCAAGTGGTGTGTGCTTTTTGCTACTTAAGAAGCAGAGGCGCGATTGCCTGCCGGATCGATTAATTCGTCTGGCTGGCTGCCGAGAAAATTCATGCAAATGCGAAAAAATCGCGTTCCCTTTTAAGAATATTCCCGATACGAGGAGGTAGAGAAATCTTTCGACGCGAGGTTGCTCCTCGGTTTTTCAAGCCGCGAAGATTACGGAGCTAAGATTTATTCCGGAAGTACTGCGAATGCGCTAATTTGCCTTTTCAATTTTAAGTTGAATATCACTTAAGTGAGTGTCACGTGTAAACTCATTTCGACTACGTAAACTAGAAATATAATGATAAATACTTTTAGAATCATTATTTTGAAACAGCCTAATCATTCCTCCTAGATCAAGCTACTTTTTTTTATAACTATTTCTTACATATCTTTTTGTATATATATATAATTTTATTTTTCCTTCTTCTTTATTTTATATTGTTTTTGTGTGTATCACAGAGGGACACATTCCCGTTTAATTAAATAAATAAGTAAACTTTAGAATCGAAAAAACATATTTGGCGTTTGCTATGTACTTAAAATGCGGCTTCTAATCTCCCATGCATTCGTCTCTCGTAAACTCGCGAGATAACGTCAATAACGGTCGATACGCAGACCCGATAAGCTCGTTTGGCTGATGTAATTTCCACATAATTTTTATATCGTTCGTTCTCCCGCGGGAAACAACGGAAGTCGCCAGGAATTCGGAATAAGACAAATATTTGTCGCTCGCAAGCGACTGTATCGTGCGGTATTAACACAGAGTTTCTCCCCTGACGAATTTATCCGTTTGAGGATCTTGGTCGCGCCGGAGCATTTCCTCGTGGTTTACGCGATCGTCTTTCTCTCATTCCCGACGTCGTTGCCTGCGAAAATACGGTAAATACGCGGCACACGACCGAGCGGCGAGGAGAAGGAAGCAGAAGAGAGGAAGAGAGAAAGAAAGACGTCGAGGCGATACGAGAGATCGCCCTCGGGAATTGAACTCTGGTTACCCGCACGACGAGGCAAAAGTGACTCGGCCCCTTCTTTGTCCGAATATAACTGTATTTATCTCGATTCCGTCCGTCTGAATCATTGAAGAGAGCGAGAGAACGAGGAAACGCTTCTCCTAAACCCTCGATCGAGCGCGAGTTCAAACATTTCGCTTCCAAGCCTTCCCGGAGAGTTTGCCCAACTTTCCGGCGATCCTGACTCCTTTGTTATCTATCTTTCTTCTCTTTTCTTCGAACAAACGCATCCTCTTTCTATCCCTCACCATTAAGAGACGCGAAAGATACGAAACGCGTTGTCGCTTTGTAGTAATTTCGCGCCTGCACTTCGTTCTTCCAGAACGAAATTGGCCGTCGCAACTTGGAATTATTTTGATACGGGATGGGAAAGGGATTTTAAAGCACTTGAGAAGATCCTTTTCTTGTCATTACGAAAGTTACGTGACAATTTGTACAACCGTTCATTGCCACTCCATAAAGCGCACGAATAACGTCTATATTATTGATACACATTATTAGTCTAAAATAAAGAGATACGTATGCACTTAAAGATCTCATGTTAAAAATTATATTTTAAGTACACGAACTACGGATCATACTAGAACTCAAACGAAATTTCGACTGAAGGGTCAGGGTCTGTTAATTTTTTGAAACATGTTGTATTAATAAAATGACTTTCTCAATATCAAAAGTAGGAAATTCAAAATTACTTTTTTAAAGATGCATCGTAAATGAACAATCAAGGAGTGGTCATACGTATAGACGTGTAACGAGAAAGAAAGTTTCATGATTCATTGTGCAAGATATATGTATAACATTGCAGACAATATAACAATTCAAGCGAGATTTGTTGTCAAAAGGAGTTCTTCGTGCGTTATTACATATTGCAGTATTTGTATATATGCTCATGTAATGATATTTATTATTCAACACACAATATTTAGACATATACGTCGTGTACTCTTAAAAAATTCCGCCATTACAAAAATTTGCATTCACATATTTTTAATATTGGACATATGATATTTAATACCACTTATCTGTTAAGATCAAATGTTTCCTTGCTTTAATCCAGCCACTTGGTTGTCTGTTAATTTCGAAACACATTAGTTCATTTTTAGACGTTATGTCTTTCCAATCAGAATCCCCATATGTAGTTTCAAAATTGGGATCGCTGAAAATAAAATGGCGTTATTTTATTACAAAAATTTGTCATCATTCGATGTATAGCCTAATTTAGTATTTTAAATTTTTAACAATTTATACTTACCCTTCCTTTGCAAAATTGCTCCATATGAGTGTAATCATATTTATTATATCATAATCCTTCCGCGTCATTGCGAACAAATTTTTATTTCTTTGATCAGGCATGTAAAACAAATATGCTAATTCATCGCCGTGAGTAACGATGTTTGACATGGTGTCTACATGAAAAAATGGAAAGAAAACAGAGACGTGAAATTATCAGATGATTCAATCGGGCCGAATTGAAATCGCAACTTGAGTCAGTAATCTTTATGAATTTTACAAGATGCACACTTAGAAAAACAGACACGGTGATAGTAACTATATAGTGACAACTATATAGTTTTATGTGTAGCATTAACGCGTACACATGTAATTTGATAAATTATTTTATAGTTACTGCAAGTAAAGCTTTAGTTGCAATATATAACTACAAGATAATTTATTAAACGATACACACATTATAATTTTTTATACACACAAAACTCATATAGTTCTCATCTATATAGTTACCATCTCTATATATTTTCTTCTCAGATGTAATATTACCAGATGATTCTGTACTATGCTCTTTTATTTTTTTCTCATCGCCATTATAAGAAAATAAGTAAAAGTAAGTCTTCATTTTTTGTTCCGCTCGATTAATCACAACGCTTCTAATAGCGTGATTATAATACAAGTCGCTCAGACAACGTTTGATTACATCGGAATGCCATGTTTTAAATGAAGATACTTGTCCATAGTGCTTTAAAATTTGCTTTGTATAATTTGGCACTTTATCCAAGTTGTGCTGACCCGCAAATATTTCGACATAAGTTGTAAGATCCTCGTCCTTCAGTGCTTTTTCATCTGTTCGGCAGATAAATTATAGAAAGTTTACGCGATAAGAATGAAATAATGATATTTATTACATAAAAATTTAATAATTTGTAATATTTCATGTTTGTGGTACCTGTCATTTGTGGATAAGATTCAAAGATTTCATCGGTATTATGACCGATCAGGATCGGTATATTATTGTTGTTGTTCTCAAACAGTTCACGAACGGGACACGGAAGAAAAGGATTCAGCGATTCTTTGTCGATTGTAGGTCCAAATATGACTTTTCTGATCCTCCGTTTCTGCGAAAAACGTCTCTCTTTACTTTCATGATAAATTATATGACTGAATTATTATCTTGCCATATAATTCGTGTTTGTCATTTAAGATGGATCAGAGAGAATAGATATAGTTCCCCCTTATCAATCGCAGCAGCGAAATAACATATTGTTAAACTATAAAACGAAGTGTAAACGAATAACAAACAGAAAAAGAACTATTCACCTTTTCTGAGACTATAGTAGCCTCCGCCAAAACGAGCACGCGATAAGGAATTTTGTGCAAATATGCAAGTATTGTTTCGAGTTCCTTGCTGGAGCAGCCCAATTTAGACGCGAGTTCAAACCCTTCCGTTTGTTTCTCTTTTATCGCCCAATTACACAGAGCGACGCCACTCTGAAGAATAGCCTTCTGAAAGAGACCTGAAAATGAAAATAAGCGACATTATTGTTAATTCGAGCACATATTGAGTCATTTTGTCCCGATTGTTTCTTTTTTCTTTTTCGAACGAAATAAAGCACGCAGTAGTTTTTAAGCGTAATATACTGTGAAATTTGGAAAGTCTATCTCTACTCTCAAAGTACCATACTTGCTCTACCCTAAGTTTGCTTTAAAATACGTTGTGATAGCCACGACAGTCGGGCGAAAAATGTTCAACTTCATATCCCAAAATACAGATTTTGAAGAAAAAACGAAAAATTTAAAATAGCAGTTTTGAAACTCATGACTTTGACTACAAAATCCTAAGAGTATTTTCCTTAATATTAAAAAGCAAAAAATTTTAAGCAAAAAAGTGCCTTTTTCAACAATAATCAACTTCAAATATAATTTTTACCTATTAATATGTTTTTCTCAAAACTGACAATATTCTATGAAAATATCACTCTTTAGCTTCAAAAAGTGCTTCTATGTTTTTTTTCGCAAAAGTGCATACTTTTCGAGATATGCAATTGAAAACATTACATTGGCTCTCAATTTGACCCGGTATACGTTCTACGGAAGTTTACAAAGATTGCGCTCTCGAAAGATTAACGTCGCGTTATCAACTGAAATTTTTAATTCAGTTGTTATCACTTGCAAAAACTTCGCCATGTACCTTTGGATAACGGCGACAGCATCAACAAATGCGTGGATATCGCACCCGTGCCATTGCCAAAAACAGTGATCTTATCTGGAGATCCGCCGAAATTGAAGATGTTTTCTTTGATCCATTCTAACGCGGCAATCTGATCCTTTAATCCTTGATTCCCACAGGCATGCTTATGACCGAGATTTAAGAAACCTTACATATATAAAAATTGAATTAAAAACTTAACGATTTATAGTATAGTATATAAAATAGCGCGCGCGCGAATGTAACTCGGACAATTTTCAATCGCGTTAATCCTAACATATAGGATAAGAATTTTCTAAATATCTCTAAGAATCGATTCTTCAATAGTAGTTTAAACTTAGATGTAAATTTGAACTTTATTCAAGTGCATCGAACACGTTGTTGGGACAGAGTTGGGAAACTCAAATCTAGATTTAAACTACTATTCGAAAAATCGCCTTTTAAAAGGCGCTCACACTGCTTTGTACATGTATGATCATGTGTAATCTTACCTAAGATACCGAGTCTATAGTTGATAGTAACCAGAATGACATCTTTCTTCATGAAATAATCGGGTCGTATCTCAGAATAATTTCCGCTGCCGTAGTGAAAATTCCCACCGTGAATCCAAACCATAACTGCTTTATGCAAGACCTCTTCACATTGCTCATATGGCACGTAGACATTAAGATAAAGACAGTCCTCGGTACCAATTACATTTTTAGGTGATTTACGACATAACTGTGCGCTCATGACACCCATGTCATCAGTCGCCACTCGGATATCCTTCCAGGACACGGGTGGCTGGGGATCCTGATTCAAGCAAAGACGAAATGTGTTCGAATAAGATGATACCGCACACTAATAAGTAAACTCCAGGCAACGAATATATTACTCTGAATCTCAATGAACCAATTGGTGGAGCCGCATAAGGTATGCCTAGGAAAGCTTTGTACATGCTGCCTAAAACACCTTCTTTAATCGATCCTAACAGCTTTCCTTGTTGCACTTCCACAACTACTGTGTGCCTGATCGAATTCATGTAATCCGTATCCATCGTGTAACTTACAAATCTCTTCGCCGTACCTTAAACACACCTATCCGTAAATGAACAAATCGTATTATCACAAAGTATAGTGCTTACGAAAGCACTATTGCTGCCAGCTTAGGATCTCAGACACAAGTTGTGCAAACAAACTCTAGACATCTGAAAGACATCACACAATGATAATACAATGAATATCTTGTAATATAATATCAAGTTTGAACTGTTGCGTGTATGTATCCAACATAGAATGTTCAATATGGGTATTATCGTCTAATAATATTTATATTGAAACGTGATAATCTATCGGTCTCCTCTCTTCAAAATTTGCGAAAGAATATTCGTATATTAAATGATTATAATTTTCTGTCGGCAGTAATTTTTCATTAATAACAATCTAATTATAAATTATAATGAATAATTTGAAAGTACACTCTTTTAAAGTGAATCAGTGAAAGCATCATTGAAAGCAGTGAATATACACTAATTTGCAATTATAAATATAGCACTGAAACTGCTTAGTGCTATAATTATAACTGATATCAGTGACTATTCACTTTAAGATAACAAGATACAAGAAATAGATAGATAGGTATACAGTCGAAATACGTTTGTCTAGTTTATCAGTCAGGTTAACCGTCGAGATTGTGAAGTCCGCGTTTCAAAATACGGACGATAATATTACCGTAAAAACGCCAATAAGGTTTCACCGGTCTAACCTCCGCATACACTTTTGGAAGCGCAAGACCGACTAATATTAATAATGCAAAGTGCTCTCTCACCGTTACCCTTCGGGCGCGCACGAAAGTACCCATTTGAATTCATCGTAAGCGAGACATCCGAATTCATTGTCGACGCGACGGTATAGATTTATTGCTACGAAGAAACACGCAAAAATACTTCCCGCAAAAACGAGGGTTGCCAGTCGTTTATTCGTTCGGCCCTTTATTCAGGTCGGGGAACTCAATTCCTTTGAGACAGTGCAAAAGCAGCGGAAAGTAGCAGTGATTTCTAAAGGACGTTGAAAGCGATCGTAAACAGAAAATCATATAAAGAACACAAAATTTTAACAAGGAAACCACTACTAAAGATGATTATAAATCGGAGTATAATTAATTAAGCGCGATGTAATATTACAATGAGAACAATCATAGTCAAGTATATCTGAAAAGGTTATTGGTTCGATTAGGAGAAAGAAAAACTAGTCAAGATGAGACACTGAATAAATATTGGAATTAAAAACTCATACTCCGAAATAGAAATTAGTTATATATGATCGTTGTAGACGCTCGTTGAAACGCGAAAACGTGGATACTTGATTGGAACTCACAATTTGAGAGATGGATTCGTATCGATAAATAAACAACTGATTTATGTCCAACGGTCCTCGCTAACATACTTTTCTAATTGAAAACACATATCGAGCCAGAAACAAAGATGATATTGTTTGTATAACATGTTCAATAATAATCATGGATACTAAATAAATTTGTGAAAGAATGCGTATTTACCTGCGTTTAGATAAAGTAGTTCGAAAGGAAAACTAGTCAAGATGAGACACTGAATAAATATTGGAATTAAAAACTCATACTCCGAAATAGAAATTAGTTATATATGATCGTTGTAGACGCTCGTTGAAACGCGAAAACGTGGATACTTGATTGGAACTCACAATTTGAGAGATGGATTCGTATCGATAAATAAACAACTGATTTATGTCCAACGGTCCTCGCTAACATACTTTTCTAATTGAAAACACATATCGAGCCAGAAACAAAGATGATATTGTTTGTATAACATGTTCAATAATAATCATGGATACTAAATAAATTTGTGAAAGAATGCGTATTTACCTGCGTTTAGATAAAGTAGTTCGAAAGGAAAACTAGTCAAGATGAGACACTGAATAAATATTGGAATTAAAAACTCATACTCCGAAATAGAAATTAGTTATATATGATCGTTGTAGACGCTCGTTGAAACGCGAAAATGTGGATACTTGATTGGAACTCACAATTTGAGAGATGGATTCGTATCGATAAATAAACAACTGATTTATGTCCAACGGTCCTCGCTAACATACTTTTCTAATTTAAAACACATATCGAGCCAGAAACAAAGAAGGAACTCACAATTTGAGAGATGGATTCGTATCGATAAATAAACAACTGATTTATGTCCAACGGTCCTCGCTAACATACTTTTCTAATTGAAAACACATATCGAGCCAGAAACAAAGATGATATTGTTTGTATAACATGTTCAATAATAATCATGGATACTAAATAAATTTGTGAAAGAATGCGTATTTACCTGCGTTTAGATAAAGTAGTTCGTCCTTAAAAAAAAGACTCAACCAAACAGAAGAACCGCACGAGATTACTGAGATATTCTTTCTGTCGAAACTAGAAGTATTAGACCTACCAGATTACTACGTGGCCTACCCTACTATGTGGTCCAAGTTGGTCTGCGCATGCCTGTCAAATGCAAGGAAGTATCTATATTGAGAAAAAAAGGGTGTCAAGGACAAAGGGTGAAAAGGACAAAGTACTTATTATTATAAATATTCTCTGTTACTCCTTTCCACTATCAACCCTTTATTTGGCAGACTCAAAAAAATTTAAAGAAAAAATTTTTATGTGTTTAAATAAAGTAAATAATATTTCTTGAATGCAGTTATATTATTTCTGAAGTATCACTTTGAAAATATATTTTCGTTTTTATTATCTATTCGAAACTATTATGACTCCGATAAATAGAACAGGTTAACCAAATGTTGCTGCGGAGCAAACAGTGTTAATAAACGCGTTCTATTGTTCTTGCATATAACTTATGAGAAAATGATGTTACTTGAGAACAACATTGCTTAATATAGAGTTAATGAAAATATTAAGTTATATATATTAGCTTATTTTTTATGAAAGTTGATGAAAGTTTACATCACTTTTTCTCGATGCATTTCGTGATGCATCTCTTGCATAAGAAAATGTATTTTCTGAGAATTACTAAAAGCAAGTTCTTCTATTGAATATGAGATGCGTTGCAAAGTTCATCCAGGTTAAATATTGGAATCTTTAATCATCTGACTATATACTTTGCACGCATGCGCAGTAAAACCTGACCTGCTTAACATTACTGCTCAAAACGGTTTTGCCAGGACAGCCCTCTGTCTCTCACACATACACTCTTATGTACACAATGATTCGTCCCAAGCTAGATTTAATAGATCAAATCCAAAACCTATTCTAATCTCTTATAACTAGAAGAATATTCACATAAAGATCACACAATGAGGGAAAATACTTAAGAAATAAAAAAATATTTTGTGAATACTAATAATATATTTACTTAAATCTAAATTCTTTTATTTAAGTAGAATGAAAAATTGCTTTCCAAGAGAAGCTAAGTTTAAGAAAATATACATTTTTTATTTGTGAAAAATATTTTATATTAGTATAAATAAATATATTATTAGTACCTACCAAATAAATATTTTTTTATTTCTTAAATATTTCTTCTCTCAGTATAGTAGTATATTATCAACGTGACGAAAATCATACACTTTTATAAAAAGAAGTAGAATTTACTTAAATCTCGTTTGCAAGTCTTTTTTGCGTTCTTTTTTTATTTAAAAGGTAAGGTTTAAGGGCATAAAAATACTTTACGCTATCGTAAAATCTTCGATTTTCATCGTCTCGACCTTGCGTAGATGAATGCCGAAAATCCTAAGCGGCGCAAGAGACAAATCCTTCGCCAAGTCTTCTCAGAACGTAACATTATATGTTACACGCGTGTTCGCTTCAAGGAGGACGCGCAGCGAATTTATGAACCGTGGAGGTAAAGGTCGAGTGTAAATCTCCGTCTTTTCATCGGAATACATAAATCGTTTAATGATGTAGTTGCAAAACCGCTTCACAACAAAGTTTCGCTACGACAATGGCGCGATGGCGTCGAACGTTTATCTGAATGTTGAATAACTAATGCTTTATTCAAATTAGATAGTCACGGTTAAGAAGCGCTGACGTTGCGCAGAAAATTTAGGGGCTTTTCTTCAGATCAAACGTCGACTCTTCCGATAGGTTCGTCCGTAAAAAGGCGGTTATGACGTTGACGTCGTCGGGAATCGCATTTTTCGTAAAAATAGCTCGCAAAATAGGCTTCCCCCTCCGCGAGACAGAGCTTTCGCGTCCGCAATGACACATGTAACGGTTCGCGCTTGTCGAACTGCCGGAATCGCATTCAGCAGATTAACCGGCCAAGTGACGCGTCATTTGCATAATACGACTCGTTGAGCAATTAAGTCGCACTCCGTCATTCGCGTCATGTACACTCGGGTTAATTCGCGCGTCAAGTGCAATTTCTTGCATCGCAACCAGCAACGAGTTCGCAAGATGTACATGCGATACACCGTCTGACACGTTCGCGTCGGCGCGTGAAGGCGTCAATGTTGACTTCTCGTCGTCATCTTGTTCTTGCGAGCGTGCAATTGCGCCAAATCTCGCGATGACGTGTCGCGCAAATTCGCGGCAGATAGTGGCAATGAAATTACGCGTTAGGAATCCAGAATTCTTCTAATAAATTTTGCGAATCACAAAAGAATGTCTTTATTAGAGGCCTTGTTATTACTTGAAATTCATCTCAAGTGAGACACTTGGATTTAAATTCAGGGTTGAATGAGAGTTTCTTTAGTTGAATCGTGATTATTGATATAAATGTTACATATGTTATAATTAACTAAAACTAAAAAAAACTTGGATCTAACTCTGAATAAAAATTTGAGTATCTCACATGAGTCAAGTTTCAGATAACATCTATTAATACGAGCTTTAGGTCTGCATTAAAGCTTAATCTACAATATGCTCTTTGCGTTCTGTTTTTTGTCTTCTGTCTTTTTCTGGCTTAAAGCTTAAGATTTAAGAAAGAGATTCAGAAAGAGATAAAGAGAAAGAAGCAGGAAGCAAAGAGTATATGGTAGATCAGGCTAATAGTCCTTGTTTGAAATTTGTCTCACGTGATATGCTCAGATCTGACTCTAAGGTTAAATATCAATTTTCCGTTGGAATCATATAACACATGCGGCATTTACGTGCGCAATTATATTTATAATCGCGACTCAGCTAAAAAATATCTAACTGTAAAGTCTGTGTTAATAGTTGTCATCTGAAACTTGTTTCCTGTGAGATATTTTGATGAGTTTGATGAGTTAAATTACTACTGATACGAATTCAGACTTGAATATTTTACGTGGGACTAGTTTCAAGTAACGACCATTAATGTGAGCCTTAGAGAGACACTCGTAATTGCAAGAATCGTGCGAAATTTCTTTAGCCTCGCGCTGGCGAAAGACGAAACGGACAAACAACGTTCGTGTTACCAATGCAAGTTACTTATATAGAAAAAGACGATACCACCATGTTTTATTGAAGTATCCGTATCAGTGTAGTAACATATATTATTATAATATATATTATATAACATATATTATTATAACATTAACATATATATATATATATATATATATATATATATATATATATCGCGTAAAGGAGTACAATCATTAAATATACAATCAAATATACATTAAGTTATAATCCATGTAAAAGTTTTGTCGTTCACTATTAAGACTTTTGTAACTTACGGAAATTTACAAATATTAATTTCATATCAACTTTTAATGGGGAGATCCTTTAATCATTCTTTAATAGAATTTTTGTTTGGTTAAACAACTTACTATGATTATCGCCGAAGCAAAAATAGTGTAGTCCATTTTTTTCTACTGGTACCCAATTAGTACATAAATTCTTGTATATGATATTAGGATGTCTGGAAATAAAATACCGTCGTTTTGTTTTGTTAGAAGAATCTGTTTATCAATTTTTTACAACGTCGTACATTTTTTTTAACAGTACACACTTACCCAAACTTTGCAAAGCCGCTCCACATAGACGTTATCATATTTATCATATTATGATCCCGCGAAAATATATTCGGCGGTGCGATATTATTATGAGTTTTGTAACGTGGTAAGTAAAACAAATATATCAATTCGTCCTCGTGAGAAACTCCTGAAATGCCGATTACATGAGAAACACATAGTAAGGTTAAGGAATATGAAAATAGAATCATGTGGCTCAGTTGGAAAACTAAGATCTCGACTCTAAAAATATTACGTTAGGGACATTACGAATTATACAATTACCTTCGAAATGCTGATTAGGGCGCGGAATTAATTTCGCCTCTGTACCATTGTACTCGAAGTAATAAAGATAAGTTTTCACATTTGTCTGTAACGATCGTAAATACGCAACACTTCTAATAGGAATACCATAATAAAGGTCACTCATGAAGCGTATAATTTGATTGAGATTACGTCTACTGAACTGCATACCCCTCATGTAGTACGTTTCAATTTGCTTTATTTTTACTGTTGCATCATCCGAGTCATTGTTCACAATATTTTCCATATAAAGCGGCAAATCTGCATACATTTCGTCCAAACTTTCCTGACTGAAATCTGTTAATATTATTTACGTGTTAATATTATTTTGTAAGCTGTCGGGATTCGAAACGATGCAAAGCCAAGCTGCGCCAAGTAATGTTAAATAATTTTGGTTACATAGAAATTCGGTAACTTGTAATCTTCGTTCTTTAATACCTGTGAGATATCCAAGATATTCATGAGATGTATGACCGAGCAATATCGGTATACGATTGTCAAACAAGTCTGTGACGCAAGTCGGAAGAAAAGAATTCCGTGACTTTTTATCGATTGTAGGCCCAAATATGATTTTCTTGATGTGTCTCTCCTGCAAGTTGCCTTTTTGTGCTTTATTATTCACAACATTTATTGCTTGAGATGCTTTAGGAAGAATGAACGGAGTGCACGTATTGAACGCAGCATTAAAATGACTCGACATACAGGGTGAGCCAAAAGTCTAGATACACCAAAATATGTCATAAACGATGCATTTTAGAAAAAAATGTTTCGGATAAGAGTTGTAAGACTTAAAAAGTCGCATTTAACGACAGTAGTTATTTGATCTAGAATGGCCATGGTCAGGACAAGGTCAACTTTGCTTTTTTAAATAGAAACATGTATTTTTTATTACAGCATTTTATTCAATGTAAAGAGACAAATAACTTTTGCTTGAAAAAATTTTTTATACGACTTCTATTTTCTAAGATATTTACATAAATATCTTAGAAAATAGAGGTTGTATAAAAAATTTATTAAAGCAAAAGTTGTTTGCTTTTTTACGTAGAATAAAATGCCGTAATAAAAAATATGTGTTTCTATTTAAAAAAGCAAAGTTGACCTTGTTCTGACCTTGGCGACGCCATCCTATGTCAAATAACTACTATCGTTGAATGCGTTTTTTTTTAAGCCTTACAACTTTTGTCTGAAACATTTTTTTCTAAAATGCAGCGTTTATGACATATTTGGGTGTATCCAGACTTTTGGCCTACCCTGTATATATATATATATATATATATATATATATATATATATATATATATATATATATATATATATATAAAAAAGAAAGACTTACTTTCTGAGTGACGACATTAAACTCCATTCGGACGAGTATCTCATAGGGACATTTACGAAGGAACTCCGCGATTTCTTTGGGATTCGTGGATTTGCAGCCAAGTAAGAGAGCGAGTTTAAAAGCTTCCGGTTGCTGCTTTCGTATCGCCCATGGGCAAAGAGCAACACCACTCTGAAGAATCGCCTTGTGAAAGAGATCTGAAAACGAAAATCGCGGCATCGATTAACATCGCGGTCACTTATGGGATCTTTTAGATTCGGTATTCTTGTACCTTTAGACAACGGCGATATCATTAGCAAGTGCGCCGATATCGCACCCGTGCCGCAGCCGAATACGGTGATGTTATCCGGATCCCCACCGAAGGATTTGATATTCTCTTTGATCCATTTTAACGCAGCAACCTGGTCCTTTAATCCTTGATTTCCGGTGGTCTCCTCGTCCTCAAGATTTAAAAAACCTTCAGAATTAAACGGTTTATTTGATTACACGCGAAACAACGCACGATTGTGACTCGAGCAATGTCCCGTTGAAAAATAATCTCTGTCGCGCATGTGTGACACTCACAGCGAACATGTTAACGTAAGACTCTAAGAAAAAAGATTTTTTGAGCATTTTACCGAGAACTCCAAGTCTATAGTTTATGGAAACCATAATAACGTCTTTGTTCATAAAGTAATCAGGCCGTGTATCCTCGATATTGCCGTTCCCACGAAGGAAAAATCCACCATGTATCCAAACCATAACTGATTTCTGCGCGCTGCTTTTATTCAAATCATACGGTACATAAACATTGAGATAAAGGCAATCCTCACTGCCTATCACAATTGTCTCTGAAAATTTCTCCAATTGTGCGCTCATGTTGTATCGCATGTTTTTAGCATATCGGACACCTGTCCAGCACGCGGGTGGCTCGGGATCCTGATTTAGGCAATAACGGAATATATTTATTTAACAGGAATTAATATTCCGCCAATTAGAGTCGCAAGGATAATAATAATTATTTCTTGCGGCAGGATAATAATAAAGAAGTAGCTTTATACACTGAGAAAACTACTTGAAAATTTGTTTATGGAATGGAAGTTTATTCCACAGAAATAAACGTTATTTCACGGAAATAAATTTTATGTCTCATAAATAAATCTTCATATACTTTTTTTCAGTATATATATTTAAATCAGACGTTATTACACATCATAATAAGTAAACTCTACACACAAGAAAATGTTACTGCGCTCAAGTAAATGTTACTTGTCAAGCTTGTAAATGTTACTTTTCAAGCATTTTTTGTAATATTATATATCTGCAAATCTATTAAAAGTTTGTTATAAGTATGAAATTTCTTCAAAATACATTCTTTATCCTAATATTTAGCATTTTAATCGAAAATATTAAATTAAAACAAAAATTCTACTTGATTATTGCATTTAGAATTGTACTTATTTTTTTCAATAACTTTTTTTTGACAACTTTTTTTCCGATAAAGTTTTATATAATATTCTTAGAGATTAAATTCTTCTCTTAAATATATGATAATATGAGCTATTTTAAAATTTGTGACGTGTGTATTCAAAGACTGTTGTCGAGAAAATCTTCTTTGTGATAACAATTACTTGCTGAGTAATCGTTTTTTAGCGGTAGAATGATATTTTTCTATGTGTACTTTGCATAAAAATTACCTTGAACCTTAATTTACCGATTGGTGGAGCCGCATAAGGTATACCTAGGTAAGCTTTATACACGCAACCGAAGGCATTGCCTTTAATCATTCCTGACAGTTTTCCTTGTTTCACATGCACGATTTCCGCATCCATGTTTGGATAAACGTATTCTGGAATTTTTTTCATGACTTCTATGACAAACTATCTTCTTCTTTTTTAGACATACGTTTTCTCTAAATTTTTACTATGAAACTTTAATATATATATATATTCGTCGATACATATATTCGTTATATATTTCACGATATGAGAAAGACTATCGACGAATGCGAGACATCACACGAAACTCTAGAAGACAAGCGTATAAGACACTTAACTCAAACACACAATAATAACATAGCTTGAACTATGCTGTGTGTGTTATGTTATGTAATATTCAAATTGACACGTGCTTGTCGACTGCTTTTTCTCTCTTTTAAACTTGCGGATTCCGCTCGAGGAAATTCGCGAGTGTTAAAGAGAATACACTGAGAAGAAAATACTTGCAAAATTTCCTTGTGGGATATAAAGTTTATTCATTACTTTAAACATAAACTTTATATTCCATAAATATAAAATTGGCAAATATTTCTTTTCGGTGTATTAAGATATTAATATTGTCTTTTTTTGCAAAAAACATGTTTTTCCTAAAAAATCTTAAAAAACGAAACTCTAAAATTGCATTTTCTGATAAATTAAGATTAAAAGAACAATCAACTGGTGAATCTACACCGAGCAAAAATATTTGAAACTTTATTTGTAGTATATAAAACTAAAATAAAGTTTATTTCTATGAAATAAACGTTACTTCTACGAGGATACGCTTTTATCCCACAAATGAAGTTTTAAATATTTTTCTCAGTGCAGGGTTTTTATAGAAAAATCGCTCGTAACTTTGTATTCATGTAAACTTCCCAATTTCCTTTTTTTATACTATTTGTTTTATATTTAGAAAAGCGCTTGTGCAGAGACAGATCAGCTGGCCACATCAATTACACGTAAAATTAATTGCCCGTCTCGCGTTATTAACCGTACACCCGTAGACGCGAAAGCGAAGGCTCACTGGCGAGTTCACAGACTATCTTTTTTATTTATCGGCCCGATCACCCCCTCGTTCGCCGTTTAATTGCACCATCGGAGCAGCAAATTGTCAGCGAGCTGTGGCACCGATTATCGTGAGCGACTCTCTAACGATCGTCCGTCATTTTTATTGGACACCCGGTGTTATTCCCAAGAAAACGATAGGGCTCAGTGGCTATTGCGAGTTATCGGTCGATTAATAATAACCTCGTCCCGGAGACGTTTGAACTTTCATTTAGACGTATCTAATCTCATTGTGCACCGCTTCCGCAGTTCATTCTCGCACCGTTTGAATAATCGATTATCGTCGCGAGTCGTGACCTCAACCTGACCATTCCTTCTTTCTCCTCTTCTCGGTACGCACTTATTCTAAAATAATAAAGCACGTGCTCGTGTTTGTACATGGAGAAAAAAATACTTGAAAATTTGTGTGAGACAAAAGTTTATTTCACAGAAATAAACTTTATCTTACAGAAATTAACTTTATTTCGCAGGAATAAACTTTATATCCCACAAATAAATTTTCAAGTACTTCTTTCTCAGTGTATAGCTGAAATTTATGTGAGATTACGATCGTGTGGTTTGATAACGTGAAAAATATCATACGTTTTCGCTCGATTGACAGTCAGTCGATCACGACAAGACGATCTCGCGCTTTTGCCCGAAACGAAATATTATTTCAGCATTCGTCCTACATATTCCGTCGAATTTGAGTAACCAATGAAAAATCTCGAAATATAACACAAATTGGAACTACCCAACCTTTCTCAGGTTATGCGAAGGATCAAGGGGATAAAATTAGGGAGAAGAAGTAAGGTGTTCAGGTTTTATGCTGAAAAAGAAATAATTAAAAATTTTTTGTGTGGGATATGAAGTTTATACACTGTAATAAATTTTATTTTGCAAGAGGAAATCTTATTTCGCAGAATTAAACTTTATATTCCACAAATTAATTTTCATATATTTCTTTCTTAGTGTATGTAACCTATATTTTTCACAAGGTTCTAAAGAATATGCAAAATTTTATCCAGATTGGTCGAAGAGTTTAGGAGTGTATAGGGAACATACAGATAAACATTCTATTTTATATGTATAGATTGTACAGGCTAAAGAAATAACGGGAAGGGATGATTTACTAAAAAGAGAATTCTTTGATATTTAACTATCTCAATATTCTACCTGCATTGGATTTTTATTCTTAATTTCTGCAAGATGTATATTATAACAATTATGTAGGTTAACTCTGTAGATGGAATATATGTGACCAAAAAATATATAATAATGTACTGAATATATAATAATATAATATATAATGTATATATAATAATATAATGTACTGAATATTAAGGCGGAGGTGAATAGATCAAGTTTTCTCTTTCGTTCTGCTGATTATTGTCTTTTATCGGTGTTAAAAGTGTTTTAATGGGATTTAGAGGTGCAAAAAAGACATAAGAAAGAAGCTGTTGCCGCTGCATCTTGCGTCCTATATTACGTCCTGGAGTCAATTCCAGATCGTCGTGGCCGAGCACTCAACCTACACAAGAAGTACAAATCGATCGATCCGGATAATCGCGCATTAAACGACGAAGATCGTTAAATGATAAAGCTTTCAAAACATTCTGATAGCTTCTAGAACCATCTAGAAGATAGAGGTATGTTTTGAAGTCGTTGACTGTTTACATCTTCCAGTCGCCAAATATACGTGTTGTTCATGGGCGGTTGTGGTGGGAGGAGGGATTATTTATATATTTGGAGACTCTCGCGTATTTGTCCGTACTTGTTCGTGAGTGTGTGTTGGCGTCGCGAACTACGTATATCGGCGAATTAATCGTTTCCGTTGGTTTCTGAAATATTTAATCGGCGTTAATTAACTCGAGTTTCGCGCTCTGATCGAGTCATGTCTACGCGAGTGTCAGTGTGCACCCGGAGTGTGTACCGTAACGGAAAGCAGTCAGGATGTTGGATCGAAAAGTCGGGATGGAGGACGCAGGATGCAGAGGCTTCGACAGGAATACACGTTTCCAGGTGCGTTGAATTATTTATTATACACGACGTTTCCGATCTTAACAAATGTTCCACGAAAATATCGAGAACATGGAGACATCCAAGTTGAAATTTAGGTCGGTATTCATAGTTCATCATTTAGCAAGCAATTATAACTTTGTGAATCTTCTATCTTTGTCAACTTTATTACGTTATTTAATATCAAAAGTATTGATTCGTATAATTCGAATAATTGAGTAACGGTTCATTGATGTACGAATTTGTCTTATAATCAATTATACTGTCAATTAAAGATTCTAATCTTAAGACTAATTCACATGCTATGAACACCGACCTCAGAATTTAATGCAAATCTCGTTAATGCTGATTTTTGTGTCTAACAATGCTCCTTGCGTCGCGAATACGTTTACATCCACCATAGCCTTCTTTTTGCTTCTGTTTAGCTTCGTTTAGCTTTGTACGAATTCCAAGTTTCAATTTCAATCGGTAAACAACATTATTGGACACAATCGTTACTTTTGTCTTTATAGCTCCTTCTTCACTAGCTCTTTTGAGAGCTCTTTAAAATGTCGAAGAAAAAGAGAGATTGAAATTGAAAAATATGTCGTTTCTCTTTTGCTGTCATCCACATTTGAACACTTAATAGATTATTTAATATTTGTTTATCTCTCTCTCATGCACTCCATCTGCAACTGAATTATATAATTAACATGTCGATTGAAATTAAGAACAAGGATTAAATGCAGGTTGAATATTGAGATGATCGAATATTAAATCATTCTGAAACGAGTAAGTAATTACTCATAATATTAAGGTAGAATAGCCTGAATATATCTTAAGTTTCTTCATTAGTCCTTCACATTCAACAGAATATGCAAGGTTTTAATTTAGAACGAAAATTTCATCTTGGATTCCCATATCCATTTGCGCGAAATAATTTTTACTCGTTATGCTAAAGAGCATCTTATCTTTTATCTGCATTCCTCGAACTGGCGATATATTTTCAAGAAGACGTGAATATTGTATTTGACACGGTTCATATATATTTGATGATTCCCGTTCTGAGAGATACAGTGAAAGTTACATTACAGTTAGAAATATATTATAGAATAGATAGTATATTATAGAATATTATAGAAATATATTATTATTATATCGACGAGTCATCGCTAAAACGGACGACTAACTCGAATTGCAACGGTATCATTAATTATGGATACATATTGGACTTGTAACTTATATATATTCGTAGCTCGAAATGTCCACCGCGTCTCTCGAAATGCGATTTTGCGTCGTTCTTGAGGATGACGATGACGACTTGAGGATTCACGCGATATTTGTCCCACATACCTTCAAACACTTTTCGGAAGTGCGCCGCGATAAGAAAATGCGAACAGCGCGAAATATGAAGAACGGGCATGGCCGTGGTGTATCGATGACCGGGTTTTCTGCCTTATCTGCTGAGTGCTATATGCATAACGCGGCTGCTATATGCGCTAAATGTCTTTCGGAAATTCGTATCTGCATATCCGTATCTTTATGTGCACATGTCGCCGAGGCGGTACGATCGAATAAAATAAATAGCGCACCATATGTGCACGCGTGTATTTATGTTCACCTACTCTCGAGCCGAGTCCGAGATAGGGGATGAAATATTAACACCCCGGGACCACCCTATTGCCCTCCCCTAGAACTCGTTCTCGAACTTTGCGCGCGGACACGCGCCCGTTAACGCGAAACGACTCTGATTTATGCGCCTTACCTAATAAATCACGAGTTCCTCGGATGAATAGAAACGGACGCGCGCGACAAGTATTGCCTCGCGGCCGTGTCGAAATGCCGATGTTCCGGAAGAGTTGATTGATTAAAAGAAGTTCATTTCGCCGGATATTAACTCGTAAATTTGCGCGACAAATGAATCGATTGATGGCGCGACTTCGCGCGCGCTTCCTGTATCACTTCGAATTTGACCGGCACGTCTGATATAATTTCTGTCAAATTAAATTCGCGGCGACGGATTAAAACGTAACCTCGACGAACGGTAAAGAGATTAAAGGAAAGCTCATTTCGCCGGATATTAACTCGTCAATTTGTGCGAAACTTCAGTAAATCGATTGATTGCACTGGGAAAAAAACTTGGTCTAATTAAAATTATAGTTTATTTTAGACTTCAAATCATATTTTTGGTAGCAAAATGGTAGTAACATGCACATAAGGTACATTATTATCACTAACGTCATAGCAGAATTTAATAAGAAAATAGTTTTCTCGGCCACAATTTATTATAGTAATTTCTTTGTGAGATTACAGTTACAAACAGTAAATTTTTTTTTCTCAGTGTGCGCGGTTCTTGAATCACTTTAAATCCGAAAACGACCGGCACATTTAAATAATTCTTGTCAAATTAAAATAAAGGTATCAATTCCCAGACACGTACCTAATCCTCTCTGAACATTCTTATTACTTTGGTCTTTAAATATTTAAACTTTCAACATACATATTCAATACTTGTACATATATTTTATGTTGAAAGTTTAAATATTTGCATCTAAAGAACAAGATAAAAAGAGAGAGAACAGAATAAAAAGAATGTCCAGGATTAGGTATATGTCCGGGCATCGGTATTTTTATTTTCCACTGGCAAAAAAATTGAACGAGCGCAATCTCGATGAACGGATGAAGAGTTTAAAATAAAGTTCATTTCGCCGGATATTAACTCGTAAATTTGCGCACAGTTAAATCGATCGATAGCGCGACTTCGCGCGGCTCTTTTACTATTTTGAATCCGAACGACCGGCTCATCCTGATAGAATTCTGATAAAATTTTTGTTCAACACTATTGACAGAAAAAAGGATAAGTTGAATGTAACTCCGACGAACGGTTGAGAGTGAAATTCGCGATTGAATTCAATAAACGATTCGAAGAAGTTCCTCGTGCAGACTCTCCTCAAGTGACCTTTCTCGTGGAGATAGAGGCAGAAAGAGAGCGGAGACAAGGTCCACTTTGGTCCGATTAGAAAATGACCGGCGTATTGCTTTCCGCTACATTTCCGCGCGGTGCGAACATTTTTATGTAATTAACCTCCGTCTTATCCGAGCACAATAATTAGTTCCCCCCGCGAGTTATTAACTTTTAATTAAACTCCGAGAGAACGCCATAGTAGGAAATTCTTTTTGCGAGAAGTTAAATATCGAAGAAAGAAAAGAACGGCGGCGGGGTGATGACGCGGGGTGAGGGAGGCAGGGGTCTAATTCAACGTGAAAGCTTTCTACCGTAAATATTTCACGATTTTCATCGGGACGGACTCCGTGTTCCGGTGAGTATTTCTTAACATCCACGGTTATTATTTCAGCGACTTTAGATTTCACTCATCTGCGTCTGCAATAATAATGACTAGCTGTGTCTTTACATACGTGAAAACGCCGGGATTACTGGGGGGGGGG